ACGGTCAAAGAAAAAAATGTTTAATCTTTGCATGATTGGAAACCAATGTGATTGCTTCCAACATTCGTAATTTGGAATTATGAATGAGAATTAGAAAAGGAGGAGAATAGGCGAACATCTTAGTGAACTTTCTAAATCGGGAAGTTTCCAAATTTAGAAAGTCCACTGAATTAGGGTTTCCACTTTTAGAAATTGGAAATCGAGAATTGGCACTCGTAATGATGAGGACATTACAATGATTCCGAAAATTTAATCGTTACAATTTTTCAATCATTGAGTTGTGAGAAACGAGCGAGTAAAGAACTAACGAACTTAACCTGTTGGGCCCGGTCCAACTTAAGCCCGTTAGGGCTTTTATACAAGACACTATAAATACATGATTTATAGGTCTTGGAGACATACAAAACACATTACACAAACCCTAGCCGCTCAAGCTCTCACACGGCCGATCTCTCTCCCTTCCACCGCCGCCGCCGTCGCCGGAGTTGGCTCACCCACCTAAAATACTATCGGTAGTATTTTTCTTTAACTTTATTCTTCCGTTTTTCTGACTTTTACGTGTCTAGTGCCACGTAGTTAGTTGATTTCGGTATGCGAGGTAAAATCCGAGAGGAGCAAGATCAAGGAGTCAATCGCCGAGAAGCAACCGCCGAGCAGACGTCGTACGCGCCCTCACGCGCTGTCCGAAGACAACGCGTGATCCTCACGCGCCGCCGCTGCCAGCGCGTCCGCCGCCGTCACTCCGCTGCCGCCGCTCCCAACTGCACGGATTGGTTTCCGTGGCAGTCTTGCTTCGATCCGAGTGCTTACCTCACGCTTCAAGAGGTAAATTTTTGAATCCGATCGATATTCGATTAGGTTTTAATTTAATTAGATTTAATTTTATGTGTTTGTATTCGCAGTATGTTTTCGTGAATTTATATATGTTTCGTGTTTATATGAAATTCATGATTTACTGCGAGCATGCTATGTGATTTACTGTCGATTAAATTAATACGCATGATTGTTGTTTTTAAATTATCGCGGGAAGCGCAAAGGTACGCAATTAATTGTTTAAATACGAATCGAACATGGGTTTATGTGATATAAATTGTCTAATTCACGTAAAATTTTTGTTTTCTGCTGCGTACACGTGCATGATTTCCATCACCACCTTGAAGACAAGGTGCGTTTCGAAGGAAAGGAGAATGTTAAGACCAGACGCAGTACAAGGCTGCCAAAACCCAACCCACAATATATTGATGGGCTTGATACTTAGTCTAAGTTATTTGTTTTGTTTAGTACTTTGCTTAATTCACTACAAGAAAGTTCGCATTTGGCTACAACGAATTTCGTTGAGAAAAGTATATAATTTCGTTGCTTATTCCATTCGCAACGAAAATAAGTCGTTGCTAGCTTCGTTGTCTTTTATTTGTTATGGAAAGTTCGGGGCAACGAATTAAAAGTTGTTGCCAATACATTTAGTTTGCGCAACGAATTCATGTCGTTGGCAAATATTTTTCGTTGCCTATAGATTTAGAATGCACAATGAATATATTTTGTTGGCAATTATATATCGTTGCCAATGTATTATGTATACACAACGAATTTATTTTCGTCGCCAATAGTATACACAACGAATTTATTTTCGTTGCCAACGAATTTATTTCATTGCAAAATTATGGTCCAGATTTTTATCGAAGCCGGACCCACGTCCGCCAACCCAACCCACATCCATTGGACCACAGAGCTACTTCGGAATATGAATAGTTGGGTCGAACTCACGACCGGCCCAACGGGCTGATAAATGTTAAATATATGAAAATATGACAATGATAGGAATTGAACCCTGGTTGATTTGAAGTTAGAGCCCCTTCAAACCGCTGGGGCAACATTATATTCTGCAAATTGGCTGAAAATAAATTTATAAAAACTAAATAGACAAGGAAAAATGTTTAATATAGTTATATGAATTAATAATAATAATAATAATAATAATAATAATAATAATAATAATAATAATAATAATAATAATAATAATAATAATAATAATAATAATAATAATAATAATAATAATAATAATAATAATAATAATAATAATAATAATAATAATAATAATAATAATAATAATAATAATAATAATAATAATAATAATAATAATAATAATAATAATAATAATAATAATAATAATAATAATAATAATAATAATAATAATAATAATAATAATAATAATAATAATAATAATAATAATAATAATAATAATAATAATAATAATAATAATAATAATAATAATAATAATAATATATTCAATAAATTAAAATCAAGAAAAAATAGTTGGTTTGTAAATTGGCAACGATTATATTTTGTTGCCAAATCACTTGGAACATTTACAAACGATTATATTTTATTGCCAAATCACTTGGAGCATTTACAACAAAATATTTCGTTGTCTTTTATCACTTATTGGCAACAAAATAAATTTGTTGTCGTTGTATATGTATTTACTACAATTTTATATCGTAGCAAAAAGAAACACTATTTTGCAACAAATGAAATTGTTGTCTTACATTAAATTCGTTGCGAAATATATATGATACTATTCACAACAATAGTTTTCGTTGCCTATGAGATTCAAAGGCAACAAAAATTTCTTGTTACAAAAAGGTTATTTGTTAGCCACAAATACTATATTTCGTTGCTAAAATATAATTATTGGCAACAAAATTAATTTCGTCCACAAAGAAATTGTTGCCTATTTTACATTTTCTTGTAGTGATTATGGTATTTTCTCTAGTTAGGGTTTTATTGTTTGAAGTATAAATACTCAGACACGTACTTTGGTTTTCTTTATGATGACTAATACTATTCGTTATGACTTCTTGTGTAAGTAAGAATTAGAGAATACCTTAAGATCGTATAACTATCAAACCTCCGACCAAGAAATCGAGAAACCATGGGTTCTCGAGCTTGAAGTGTTGCCGATGTTGGTTCTTGTTTCGTATTTTCTGCATTTTATATGATGTCCTTTTTACAACGACATCTAGGTGACAAGTGTTTGTTTATGTCTATTCAAGTGCAACTAACAAAACATGTCATTGGCAAGTAGCCAATTACTAGGTTAAATTAAGGATAATGTATGGTCCCAAATATAAATAGCAGATAAATTTGAATATAAACAAATATTTAATCATAGTGGATAATTGTGTATAATTGTTTGATGACACTTGTAACAAAGAATTCATTTAGGTCTTATTGGTCAACATCTACTTAGTATATAGAATGTTTAATTTGTTTATGCATAGTATTTAACTTAGACTAATGGTTTGTTATTTTTTCATTAAAGACATATTATTTTAGTTCAGTGAGTATTAAAAAAGGGAAAATTAGAGGAAAACCCCCATCTAGGAAATATAGTTCAGGAAATACCCCATGTTATTTTTTGATTAAAGACATATTATTTTAGTTTAGTGAGTATTAAAAAAGGGAAAATTAGAGGAAAACCCTCATCTAGGAAATATAGTTAAGGAAATACCCCTTCCAAAATAATTAGAGAAAACCCATAACTAATATTCCACCCAAGTGATATTTTCATAATTCCAAAACTACCATTAATTGTCTATTAACTCTTTCAAAACCCTAATCTAATTTTTCATTACCCATTCTTTTTCTCGTCGTTCTCTCTTCTCTGTTTTTTCTTCTTTATTTTTTCTCTGTTTTCTCTGGCAAATCTTCTTCCCCGCCACAGCCGCTGGAAAATGGAGAAAGAAAGAAGAGGAAGCACTCGTCGTCGGCGCCGTCTGGAGAAGAAGGACTCTTCTTTCTCAACAGCCTGTTTTACCCGTCGGCGTGTGGATGAAGAAGAAGAGGAATAGGTTGTTGAGAAACAAGAGGAAGCACTCGTCGTTGGGAGAGAATCAACGTAAATTGTTGATGAAGGTATTTTTTTTTTCTTTACTTTTATTATTTTATTAGTGTTGGTTTGTCATGTGCTCAGAAATTGTTTATGGAGTGACTAACAATGGTTGACAAATACCTTTGAACCGTTCCTGTTTTATTGGTGGACATTGAAATGCTAATTTGTGGTTTTTTGTATGAATTATTTATTTTATTCTTGTTAGGGATTGATTGAATAGTGTGGTGCGGCGGTGTGGTGACGATGGGGAGGCAAATTTAGGGTTTTTTGGTGGATCGGGCGGAGGAGGGCGCGTGTAGAGAAATTCACTCAGACTGGAATCTTAATCGACTATATACATGTTCAATAGTCGATTAAGCTAATCGGCTATGCTCTGGTAGTCGATTAAGGTTCGACTCCAATTGTTTATTTTATTTTTTGGATTTTTTGTTTATTGATTCCGATTGTATAAATCAATTATAATGTTTGTATATTTTTTGTTTTTGTAAAATATAGTTGATTTTGCATTTTTGTTGTTGTTGTCATTTGTTATTTTTAGTAGCAGATTCTTAATCGACTATGCTTCATCATAGTCTATTAATATACATGATATAGAAAAAAAAATTAAAAAATAAAGAATTTCCTTAATCGACTATGTTTCATAGTCGATTAATAAAACTGATACAGAAAAAAAACAGAAAGAAAAAAATATCGCTCATCACCAGCGCGTGACGCAGTGATGATGTGGCGGACGGGGGCAAAACTGAAAAAACATAATGGCTGAAAATGAGTGTGAACGTTTCTCGAATGGAGATAAATATTTTGAATCTCTCTCCATTAAAAAGCAATGAGGGGGGCTTCCTCAAACAATCCCATAAAAAAAACATAAATTATATATCATCATCATCATACTACAAATAAATGGAAGTTCTTTACTTCATTGTTTATCCGTGGGCCGCGCCAATATTTATTATCCCCAAAAATAAAAGTTATATGGGCCTGACCAAAATTCAAGGCCCGCTTGCTTATGAATGCTCAGTGTTTTTGAATTTTGACTGCTTGACTTTATAATTTTTACCGACGCAATTGAAAGGAGAATCTCTCTCTCTCTCCCTCTCCCTCCCTCCCTCCCTCCTCCCTCGCCCTACTGTCGAATTTATCAGCCGCGAAAGCTGCCCGCCCAAACCCTCAGCGCGAAGCAAAATATATTTTCGTTCTTCTGCCATGTATCAGGTGATTTTCTTATTTTATAGTTTATCGGCACTATTTTTCCCTTTATCGATTGCCCCTAATTTTCGTGGATGTTTCTGAAATTAATTGGGGATGATTGTCTTGATTTTCCAAAACATGGTATCTGCGTATCTGAACTGTGTCGATGAAGTATCAATTACGATCTATTTAATGATTTTTTAGTTTTGAATTGTATTTTCAGGTTGATCATAGAAACTCCTCAGCAGCTAAACGGGCACGAACGGATGGTATGCTAGTAATCGTTTTGTTTTATGTTTCGTATATGCACATTGGTAGCAGCGATTTCATTTTTTGGTAATATGTTATGTACATTCCCGTTGTTTTAACAGTTGTTATTTGTCGCGGATTGTTATATTCATTTATGAGGATTGTTGTAATTTGGTTTGGAGGGTACATGTTAGCATTTTTAAGCATGTTCTAGGAGATTATATGTTAGTTGTTACAATGCCAACTCATATAAATTAATGTGCATATTTTTACATGTTGGGATCACTTTTTGGATGAATTTTGCACCCCAAAACTTTTGAGTTCGTTGGTGGTTTATATTGGGTTGACTTGTATGACAAGTTATAGAGAAGCGGGAAGACTTAATAATTTATTCACATTTCAACTAGTTTATTCTTCACGTAACCAAACCTGACCTTTGTCTATTATCATATGTGATGCTTCATTTATGCAGAAAATTTCTGAAACATTGTAGCCTTGTTCAGTACACGAACCACACAAATATAGCATTTTGGTTTCAAAACAATCTTGCGGCGGGAAGGAGACAAAACCGATTAATCGGCAATCTGATTGCGGTAATCTTTCTTCTATGTTTATTTTTAATTCCCGCTACGAAAATCTTCGGATATTGAATTATTTTCCATTGTTCGTTGAACCTAGAGTTTCTGATTTCACCTGTTATATGATTTCTGTTTTATTGAAGAAAAATGTGACTTACGCTATCTCTTTTCCTTCACGGTGGATTCGTCTGAAAGGTAACTGGTAGAGTTAGATCAGTTATTGATGTCAATATGGCAACTATCTAGAAAAGTTGCCTGCGCATTTTATTCAGCAAATTTGCTCACGATATTGATTGAACTAATTCTATAGGCTAATTATAAAAATTGTGAAAGAAAACATAATGGAACAGAGTCTGTTATAGCAAATGTTGCCTTATTTAAGCATTGTATTTTAAATTTCTGTCTACATTGCTTGCAAGTCAAGCTGTTTCGATTTTGCTTTATTTATTTAGTCTATGCTAGAATGTTTAGTAATGTATTTTTTGGATGGCATGATAGATGAGTTTAGCAGAAGACTCACCTGCACACTCTTCGAGTAGCGATGGCGATGATTTAGTAGCATTTCTTGATGCTGAGTTGGATATTGCTTCTGATGGAGAAGCTGATTCCGAAGAAGTTGCGGATGATGAGGATAGTGATAATGGTGATGAGGATAATGACTTGGATCTTAAGAGGTATATTTAATATGATCAAGTCATTTGCTTTAGGTCATACTTCGATTCATACTTTTTGTGGGCTATTTGCATGTGAAGAATATTTCAGAAGAAACCATTGTATAACTATCATGTTTCGAAGATAAACGTAATTTCTAATTAGTTGTCTGTATGAGGCTTAACTTCCACCACGCCGCTTGGAATATATTGGTTCCTTGAGGAATTGTCTGGTTGAAGGAGGATAAGTTTGTTGTTCGTTGCGTTGTTGGTTGAAACTTGTCCACTGTCCAATGAAAATAACTTCATGAAAGTGGTTAAATTGTGATTGCCGAACACTTGTAAATGTGTTATAGCCATTTCTGTGCTATTCAAATGTTGTATAGGAATCGTATTTTCTGTTAATTCCACTTTTTCTGATAATTATGCTTTATTTCTGTTTTTTTTTTATTGTAGAGTTAAAAGGCGCAAGATAGAGTTATCTGAAGACGTGAATTTTGACGTAATAAATTCACAAAGTTCCTCATCTGTAGGGGAATCAGTGCAACTTTTAAGTGGTGAGTTTGTGATTAGCTGAAATTTTACTTCTTCTTTTGGATTTGATCTGCTAATATGTTGGGTTTGCTTGTTGAATATCCTCCTCCTACATAAGAGTTTTTGTACACCATTCCTCAATACAGTTTTGACCCTTTCTTATGTATACTTTTGTATTTTCAAGCTGTTTATGCACAGGTTTTTGACTTATTTTATAACAAAATTTCCAACATGACAATTTAGTCATTCCGTGATCTTGTTCCTCTCCTTACCTATATCTCTTGTGCAGGGTCATCACCTAAGAAGAACACGTGTCTGCATCCCGGTGTTTATGCAGGAATGTGCATGAGGTGTGGGCAAAAAATGGATGATGAATCTGGTGTTGCATTTGGGTACATACATAAGGTCACTTTTTTTTTTTTTTTAAATATATTTTTTTAAACCTGTAATATATTAGTATTATTTCTGGAGCTAGGTGGAGAAAGGTATGTGTTAGGATGATAGTTCCAAAAATCCATTTGACAGTTATGCCAAGTCTCTCTTCAATTATTGTAGCATCAAAATGAAGTTCATGGTAAAGAAGCATTGCATGAAAGATGATGCACTGCACCTGTCCTTGTTTCCTTAAAGTTGTCAACACTCATTTTTATGAAGTAAAATTATCTGCATGCAGAATCTGAGGCTTGCTAATGACGAGATGGACCGATTACGTGACAGAGACTTGAAGAACATGCTACGCCATAGAAAGCTTTGCTTGGTTCTTGATTTAGATCATACGCTGCTCAATTCAGCCCGACTTCATGATATTACAGAGGAAGAAGGCTACTTAAATGGCCAAAGAGATGCTTTGCCTGGTATTTTTCCCTTTAGCATTTTCCTTGCTTTGGGTTTTTAGTGAGTTTGTTACCAAGTGCTTGGTAGAAATACTAGTGATGTAACTTAGCAAAATTTCCGTTTCTCCATAAATTACCAAACATGCCTTTCACATTTTCCTTTTCTTTTTGTCCTTTCAAAGTTATATGCATGTTTTAGTTTCTTTACTTTTGATGGTGAAAACCAGGCTTTGAATTCTATCATGTAGTGGTAGGTAAGGTACCTGACTTACGGTTTGCAAATGAACAGATACTTTAAAGAGCAGCTTGTTCAGACTGGATTGGATTTATATGATGACTAAATTGAGGCCATTTGTACATACATTTCTGAAAGAAGCTAGCAAACTATTCGAGATGTACATATACACTATGGGTGAACGTCCGTATGCATTGGAAATGGCAAAGCTGCTCGACCCTGGAGATATTTACTTCAATTCCAGAATAATTGCACAAGGTGATTGCACACACAAGCATCAAAAGGGTCTTGATGTTGTTTTGGGTCAAGAAAGTGCCGTTGTCATCCTTGATGATACCGAAGTGGTACGTGATTAACTTTAATTCCAAAATTCTGATACCAACGTAGTTTATGATTAATTTGTTCAACTGGAATAATTTAACACAGTACGTGATTTTTTTTTTTCCTCTTGAAATGTCTTTCGTAAGGAGTTTCTAACTGATATTTATTTCTTCGTAATTATTAGAGCAAAATATGTCATTTGGAGACATAAACTAACGCTAGCTTTATGTGTTTTGTTCAAGTGATTGTTACTGTTTGTTTACTTGTGGTGCTATATTATTGCTTAATGAATTGAGTGCAAAGTATTGCTAGTTTAGGTTGACTGATATTACTGTGCTGCTTCATTTGTTTTTTTTTTTTTTTTTTTTTTTTGTAGGTGTGGAGCAAGCACAAAGACAATTTAATATTAATGGAAAGATATCACTTCTTTGCTTCAAGTTGCAAGCAGTTTGGCTTCAACTGTAAATCACTTTCCGAACTACGAAGTGATGAAAGCGACACTGAAGGAGCACTACCTACTGTTCTCAAACGACTTCAGCAGATCCATAGTTTATTCTTTGACGTGGTACCGTCTCTCTACTTATTATAGCAGGCTTCTTTTCATAATTGATAAAGCGCTATCTAACTATAATTCAAATTTTAATGAGATTCTTTTCAAACTTATTTAGTTGGTCTATTGTTTCAGGAGCGCAAAGATAGTCTTGAGGACCGGGATGTGAGACTGGTAAATACTAAATTAGCATATATATATATATATATATATATATATATATATATATATATATATATATATATATATATATATATATATATATATATATATATATATATATATATATATATATATATATATATATATATATATATATATATATATATATATATATATATATATATATATATATATATATATATATATATATATATATATATATATATATATATATATATTATAACTTATACCAATTTCAGTAAGATGAATTTACGGTAATCTTTGAATGTTATAGGTGATGAAAACTTTACGCAAAGAAGTTTTAAAAGGATGTAAAGTCGTGTTCACCCGTGTTTTCCCGACTAATTTTCCGGCCGAGCACCATTCCCTATGGAAAATGGCTGAGAAATTGGGAGCCACATGCTGTAATGAAATCGATCCATGTATTACACATGTGGTCTCCATGGATGCAGGAACTGACAAATCCCGTTGGGCGTTGAAGGAGAAGAAGTTCCTGGTGCATCCACGGTGGATAGAAGCTTCCAACTACATGTGGCAGAAGCAGCCAGAAGAAAACTTCCCCGTTAGTCAAGCAAACAAGTAAATGATTTTATTTCTCTATCTAACATCTGCTGACAAAATACAAGTGACTGATTTATTTATGGTATAATGTTTTGAAATGGCTTAACTCGGACCTTTTGCTGGTATATATTTTGTATTAGAAAGGTCCCTTGAAGAAGGTTGATAGTTGTTTAGGACATGGTACTCTAAAAATTTCGGTGCCATTTGATACGAAGCTCAAGTTTCGAGTTTATCGATTAGTTAATTTAACCCTGAACGGGTTTGTTTCTTGTTCTTGGTTTTATCTCCTTTTTGCATTTTACTATTGCACGTGGTTCATGATTTTTATTAATTATTTTTATTTTTATTAATAATTTTCATTTAAAAGTTACCATTGGTATTATAAAAAATATTTAATAAAAATATAAATACTGAAGCTTATTTAACAACACTTTATATAAAATAAAAAATTAACATAAATTAAATGATACAATTTTGAATTTATTGTTTGAATATAAATTTTGTAGTCATGTTATTTTGCTTGGTGTGGACTTGGCAAAGAGTTCCTAAGAAAACAAAGAAAAAGGAAAAAAAAATCTTCATATTTGTTCTTGAATTTGCATAAGTGATTTCTTTTCGTAACATTAAAGTTAAATATCACTGTAATATTTATTATTCTTCCTTTTCGATCTAACCAACTTTTGTTTAAACTCGTTTTTGCAAATTCTAGCATCGTCATTTACTTAATCGATTTGGATCATTTACTCAAAATAATTTGATATGACCAATTATTTTTATTTTTATTAGTTTTTATTTACCATGGTGTTCTATCCGAAGACTGAATTAGAAACAATTACAAATAAAGCCAATTATACCCTCTCTTTGTAAAATCCTTATGAATGAATGCACTTTAGATGTATATACACTTGCACATATTATAAGAAGAGACGCTATTTCCACCCTTAAATATCCTATGCCACCACCAAATTAAATATATTTTCTATTTTGCCCATGTTTTCTCTTTCACCTATATTCTGTATAAATTCATAAATTGTTCACCACCAAACTAATTAGAGTATGCATAACAAAATTCCATCATTTTCCACTAGAATCTTTACACAAAACCCCATCCTCTCTACCTTAAGTGATCGATGCCCTTCATCAGAGAAAAACATCCGAATTTAAAAGGAGCAGGAATTCACGTTCTTGGAGAAATAAACTAAGAGCGTTTATGTAGAAATAAATTAAAAAAATCAAAGAATTTTGATATTATTGGTTTCGGTGGAATAAAATTTAAAAAACGGGTTACATTTTATTCAGTACAAAATGTCTGGAAATTGGTTCAAATTGGACGATTGTTAGAATATTGTTTTACACTTTTAGGTTTCACTAGTATCTCACATGTGCGTTGCACGAAGGTTAAATTCAAAATTAAAATGCTATTGAACAAAAGAATCCAACAAAAAAAAAAAACAATTAAAACTAAAATAATTTAAGATATTTGAACACCAAAAAAAGTATCGGACATAAATCAATTTAGCAATCGTCAAAAAAAAAAACATATATAATGCGCTTGAGACGTATACCATAGCAAAATGCTACAGGTAACAAAAATTAATGGAATTGAATTCCAACGCCACCTTTTCCATTCAACTCGATGTAGTAGACCACGACATTACATTAAAATCAAACATTATATATGGAACAAAAATAAATATTTGCATTAAAGTACCTTAAAAATCGACAATATCGAATACGCTAGAAAAAAACCCCGGACAAATATACCATTGCATATAGAGTATGTACATACATATATAAGACGAACAAATCAAAATAATAAATTCACCATTATAAATTACAGTTTATATCCACTTTCTAAACCTTATATATCGTAATGATAACGGTATAATAATTAAAAAGAAACAGTTATCAAAATTTAAATAAGTTAGTCAAATCAAGTTGTTCATTTTAAATTGATACTTATCCATTTTTATATCTAGCATTTAGTGATGGTATAGAACTTTTAAAAACAATTTATAAATATTTATATAAGTTTAGGTTAGTAAGACTAATAGTCTAAGGGCTCGTTCGGTTACCGATATTGGATTAGATTGGATTACATGAGATTGGATTAATTCCCTACTGACTAATTAATTATTTAGTTAGTAGCATGTTCGGTTTCTTAGATTAGATTTTCTATTAAATTTGTTAAAATCGGTTATTATATATGAATTGTCTATAAAACCACTTAGTTTACAATAATAAAATATGATTTTAAGGATAAAATTGTATTTTTCCTTTTTAGTCACCCCCTATTAAATTAATCTCAGGGGTAGGGGTGCTACTAATTTAATGAAATAGTAGCATTTAATAGCGGGCTTTCATTTTAGTAGCGGGTTTGAAAAAGTGTGAATCTTACCAACCGAACATGTTATTAGCCCCTACTATTTAGTCAGTAGAACTTTATAGCGGTAACCGAACGAGCCCTAATACTAATATTAATACTAATACTAATACTAGTACCAATACTAATACTAAGTAATACTAATATCAATACTAATACTAATAGTAATACTAATTAGGTTACTAATACTAAGGGCTCGTTCGGTTACCGATATTGGATTAGATTGGATTACATGAGATTGGATTAACTCCCTACTGACTAATTAATTATTTAGTTAGTAGCATGTTCGGTTTCTTAGATTAGATTTTCTATTAAATTTGTTTAAATCGGTTATTATATATGAATTGTCTATAAAACCACTTAGTTTACAATAATAAAATATGATTTTAAGGATAAAATTGTATTTTTCCTTTTTAGTCACCCCCTATTAAATTAATCTCAGGGGGAGGGGTGCTACTAATTTAATGAAATAGTAGCATTTAATAGCGGGCTCTAATTTTAGTAGCGGGTTTGAAAAAGTGTGAATCTTACCAACCGGACATGTTATTAGCCCCTACTATTTAGTCAGTAGAACCTTATAGCGGTAACCGAACGAGCCCTAATGCTAATGGTCTAATACCAATATTAATACTAATACTAATACTAATACTAATACTAATAATAATAATAATACTAATACTAATACCAATACTGATTAATACCAATACTAATACTAATAGTAATACTAATACTAACACTGATACTAATACTAATACTAACACTAATACTAATACTAATACTAATACTAATACTAATACTAATACTAATACTAATACTAATACTAATACTAATACTAATACTAATACTAATACTAATACTAATACTAGAACTGATACTAATACCAATACTAATACTAATGCTAATGCTAATTATAATACTAATACTAATACTAATACTAATACTAATACTAATACTAATACTAATACTAATACTAATGGTTTACAACCATTTCTTTGAAGTTTAAATTATTGTTTGCAGCAAATTTAATTACTTTTGAAAATATTACCCTATTACCAAACATATCATTACAATTTTAAATTGACACTTTTTAGATTGTTGTTGCACATTCTATAATATTGTTATAATTTATTTTTGGGCACATTACAAATAAGCCCATGATGGGATACTTATTCATAAAGAAGTCCAAACAAAAAACTCTTTTACAAAAAAATCAAGACATTATCTAAAATACCCTTTCTCATTTTAATATGCTCAAATTTCATCATTAAATTCAATTTAACCTCAATTTGACACCAAATTTCACAAATTGTTCAATTTTGACTAAAACTCAATTCTGAGTACAATTTCGCCCGTCGCCGCCATCGACCATTGGTCTCCGGTGTTGACTTTTGCAATATTTTTTTCTCTTCAACATCTTTTGCCCGTTTAAACAGTAATATTGTTGTGGTTGACCGTCATATTAACTATATTATTGTTTAACATACGAATATTAACATAATACAGTTTAACACTGTAATATTGCTATATTACTCTCTAGCACAGTAATATTAACACCAAAAAAATCACTAATATTGTGTAATAGAGTAATATTAATATGTTGACCGTTCAACAAAGACAAACATAATAAAAAGGTAAGAGAATTAATATTTATGTGGTAGACAGTAATATTACTGTCATTCACAGTAATATTACTATATGGACAATAATATTACCGTCAGTGGCAGTAATATTATTGTGTTTATAGTAATATTACAATATTAGACAGTAATATTATTACGTAAATTGGTCAACTAATCAAACAAAACAAAAAGGCAAAAAAAAAAAAAAAATTGATGTGGTGATAGTACTATTATTGTGTTTACAGTAATTTTACGTCAACGACAGTAATATAATTACATTGACTTGTCAACAAATCAAACAAAATAAAAAAAGGCCAAAAAAATAACAATATTGTTGTGGTTGACAGTACAATTAATGTCAACGACAATATAATTACTGTTAGTGGCAGTACGATTACGGTCAACGTTCAACGGCATGCGTAAAAAAAAAAGGATACAATTTTTCAGGGAAAAATAAAAAAATAAAAAGTCAACGCCATAGACCGGCGGTAAACGCTGGAAACTGGCGGCGGGAAAAGAAAACAAAAAAAAATTCAACATTGGAGACCGGAGAGAGAAAAAGAAAACAAAAAAAAAAATTCAATGCCTGAAACCGGCAAAAATAAAAGTTAAAAAAAAGATAAAGTTAAAATTATATATTTTTTTTTTGTCAAAATTGATTAAATTGAAGTTAAAATGGGGTTACAATTAGAAATTGAGAGTAAAGGGTTGGGGTAATTTTGTCATTTACATTAATTTTGCTTTGTTTATAATACATATTAAAAGGATGAGCTTATTGGCGAAAAAAATATAACCCCTGATTCTAGAATAATAAAGATGGTTGATAAGAGACTTATTCATAAAAACTCCTTTATTTTTTCTATTTTAAATTGCAATTTGAATTTTTTTTTTTTTTAAATGCAAATGTATTTTGTCATTTTAAATAAATTTTGTTATTTACTGAAACAACATTAATTAAAAAAAATATTATTTGAAAACCCCCTTCATATGCATTGTGTAATTAAGATGTGTGACACCTAGGGGTGGAGATCGGACGGATCGGATCGGAATCCACCCCTTTTCGGAAAATTTACGATTTTTTTCGGAAGTGAAAAATCACTTCCGATTCCGATTCCGAATATTTTGGAATACAAAAGGTCGTTCCGATTCCGATTCCGAAAAAAAAATCGGAATTTCGGAATTTTCGGAAATGTCATTATAGGGAATAACGATAGCTTTCGGGCAGCAACTCCGGCGACTGAAACACGGAAGAAAAGCAACGGCCACGGCGGAGATTTATAG